TAAAAGACATGCAGTAGTGGCACATATCGTTCACACACATGAATGCAGACACACACACACACACACACACACACACACACACACACACACACACACACACACACACACACACACACACACACACACACACACACACACACACGTAGACAGGCAGACACATACATCAGACAGATTGTGGTTTCCGCTTTCACTGAGTCAGGTACAGCAACAGTATCACGCAAATAGTGCAGCTCAACTTTAGCAACACGGGCAGAACGTAGCTGAAGAAAAGATAAGGAAAGGAAAAGGAATTAAAAAGAAAAGTAACACAAGGGAATACAAGAAAAAGGAAAAAGGAAAAATAATGGACAGGGAAGGAGTTGATAAGAGTATTAAGAGAAAAATAAAGTAAATACGCAAAGGCTGTAAAACTCATAATATTCTCGCATTTGTCTTGCTGATATTAAGGGTGGTGCGATCGATGTGAAGCTCTCCCGCCTGCCTGGTAGTGGTAATAGAGTAGAAATAGTCCAGGTTTGACACCAAGTGAGGAATAAAGACTGATGGCTGCAGCATCTATGTGTTCACACAGCAAAGAGGACACTGCCTCTCTGTTAATTAACACTAGACACCTAGAAGATTGGAGACAACTCCACCAACTCCATCTTATTTTAGCCACATGACAAGGTACTGCTGTTGATTGATTCCAACAGATTTAAAGGAGTTTCCTTTGACAACTAAACAGATTTTTACTATTTCATTGAGTAAAATGAGGTATTTAGTGTGTCCTCATGGTCTACTGGTTTAAGATGGTGAACATGTAATCGAAGTGTCTCTGGTTTGAGTCCAACTGCTGCGTGTCATCTCCCATATCTTTCTCTTCAGAGCAATGCAATGAGGAGACAGCTAACTCTTGAGACATTTTTCAGATCTTGTCTTTAGCTTACTTTGCTGATGTCATGTCAAACAAATCTCTCAAATGTTTCAAAGTCCTGGAGATACGGTATCTTGCAATGTGTGTCTGCAAGAACAAAGCCTTATTGTGATTCTTCTCAGCGTCCATTTCTCTCACTCTCGCCTTCAGCCCTAACAGTCTTCTCTGAAGGAAACCTTAAATAGACCCTTGTTTTCCTCTCCCCCTCCCATCCTCCATTGCTTCTCATGTTCTCTTCTGATCTGTAATTGAATTTCTCTGGTATTCAGCTGATATGAACAGTGGAATAAGTTTCAATTTCCAAAGTAAAGAGGACAAAGGTTGAACCATCTTGATTTAGCAGACATGTATGTCTTTCTACAACTACCCTGTAGATAACAGAATGGAGAAAAGGTTGAAATGCTCTTTTTCCAGTCTTCTCATCTTTACTCTCATTAACTCCCTCTGAGCTAACTCCATCTCTCCTCCACTCTCTCCCATCCCCCACGAAGTGTCTGGCACATAGTGGTGACACAATCCCTTGGTGGGCGTCACCCTCTGCCAACTGTTGCCAGTCTAATGGAGGGCTTGCCAGCGAATGAGACTGCCATGGTGCCAATTAGTACGTACGATTACACATAGAGGCATCCTTCTTATTTCCTCCAGCTTTATCTCTTCTCTCTTCACTCGTCCCTATTCTTTACTTTGTTTCTCTCCTGTCATGTTTTCCTGGTTATTCTGGTCTCGGACTTTCCTTCACAACTTTTAGCGGGGGTTACTGGCTGATGAAGCATGTGTGATGGCCTGAGAAAACCCACAGCCCCTCTATTCGAATTTCAATCACAACAGCTCTCGGCTACGCGATAACAGCCTTTAAGGAAACAGCAAGTGCCATCTGGTTTTTCATACCTCCCTCCCACTCACTCTCTCTATGTAATACAGGCCATCTTGAAACACCAAGGCAGCTTGCTGAGGTAATCATGGCCTCCAGCATCGACACTGTTAGCAAATGGTTCCATAATTACACATGTTCACACATAATGTTGAGTGACTCAGGGGTATCCACTGTGGAAAGGTTCACATGCTTTGTAGTCTGAGCTAACAGTTGTGTGTTCTGCCTCCATAGGAAAAAATTTCTACAATGCCATTAAGAGTTCCTGCCTGTAAACCTCCAGTGCAGTCTCCACCTCTCTGACACAACGTCAACAAAACGGAACTTTATGAGATTCACAGATGGTGGGATTTACTGAGGATCAATTGCCCTGGATTACATTAGATTATACAGGTGCAAATAATAAACTGGTGAGAACCTGAAGTGTCACCTGTGTATGAAACCCAAATCCCTCCAGTAAATAATCACCCTTGTGTGTAGGATTTAGTGGCATCTAGCAGTGAAGTTTCAGATTGCAACTAAATGAACACCGCTGGCATCCGTATTTGACAACCTGGGAATGACCATGAACCACAACGTCACTAATTTGAATCCAACCGTGAACCATCTGTCATTAACTTGCATATTATGTCTCCAATAGGATTTTTTCTATCCTCTGCCACTTTAGTTCAGTCCTTGAGTTTAGGTCTCAGGCCTAAATTCCCCACTTTAGCAATTTTATGTTTATGTTTATTTGCGGTTACATGAATGAAAAATATATTGAATTCTAATTTTAATACAAATTTATTTTGACAGCGCTTTACAGATTAAAAAATGGTTATAAAGTGTTTTGCAAGTAAAAAGGAAAATAGAGGAACAAATGACTAGTAGAAATAGAAATACAGATACAAATACATTTATTTTTAATAATGATATACTGTACCTTATGCTTATGATAATGTTTGCATGCATACTGTGTGCGCAGTGGGTTGGGGGTCTGTGTCTGTTGAGTAACCTTGTCTGTGACCTCCTGTCTGCAGAAGCCTCCTAATTACTAACTGATAGACAGCACTGGTGACTCATCTAATATTATCAGCAGTTCTCATAATCTTCATTCACTCTTTAATAAGGTTGCAAAGCTCGAGTGATGGCCTATAGGTGAATGAATGTGTCCATGTGAGTGTGAGTGTGTGTGCGGTGGATGGTCTGCGTGTGTTTCAGAGAAAGAGAGAGGGAGCGAGAAAACGAGAACATTTTCATTAATTTATCTTTGCAGTGGCCAGAATGATAATTTAGAAAGGGGTCTATCTGCAGCTCACTTCATCATGCTGAATATTAATAAAATGAGACCTGGAAGGCTATTTCATCCACACCGAGCACATCTCCTCCTGAAATCACAGCCAGTAGCTGAAATTTAACCCACAGAACACAAAGGAAGAACAAATGCCATTGTTGTTGTCTGGTTTTTTGGGGATTATAGAAAGATGCCATCATCTTACTGACAAATAATGGTTCAGTAAATTAGAGAGGACATTTTGAGCATCTGCGTAGCAGTTAAAAAACTGTTCTGGAAAATATGCAGATATATTTAAATTGCATTATTTTGGGCGAGTCAAATGACTTCAGCCTCAGCACACACTGACATCTGTACAGGAGAAGCCAACACATCAGTACTGACTGTCTGTATACACAGAGCTCACAGAAAGGTAAAGTCTGATTACAGCATCTGTCAGCCTAGACAGGCCTTGGTCTCTTTTTCTCTGTCCCATTCAGGCAGGTGAGATTAGAACGATCCATTAGCATGTGTCTGTCTCACTGTGTTTTAATTAAGCTTCTAATTTTGGTCGTATAGTACCATGCCGTGGGTTTGAGTGTCCTCAACCACCGTCACACGTCAACTGATCAACAGGCTGGAGGGGCAGGAAGCTCTCCGACCATACCTTTCCCTACATGCTTCTAAAACACTTCTCTTTATGCCATCCCTCCTCTCTCCTCCTCTTTTTTCCTCCAACCTCGCACCCTTCCTCTCTCCAACCGCGAGTGGAGTATAGTTAAGAAGCCTGAGCTCGGCTCATCAATAATTGAACAGCCAGAATCATGTAGAATTCTCTAAGAACCCGGTCTGTCGCCCTTTGTACTTCTGTACTGTGAATTGATTAATATTTCATTTGTGTGTGTGTTAGTGCATGTGTGTGTGTGAAAGAGAAAGAGAGGTGTTGAGGTTAATCTGCTGTCTCAACAAGTTCCTCCTTTGAAATCATAAACATTTCCTCTCCCTGACAGTGAGGCACCTACCTCCACTCAGAAGATACCTACTGTAAAATGGTCTTTAATGTAACACCTTTCCCCCATAGAACAGACTAGCTGGTGAACGTAAGCCCCCCTGGGCCTTTAACTGCCATGTAATTGATGTATTGTAAGTACACAGAGTGAGGTGATGATTTCAGTCCACAGCTGCTTGTGGTTTGACTGAAGCTCAACAACAGCTTCACATTAATCCAACATGGTGCTCAGGTAGGAACAGGTTGTTTCTGTCTATTTGTTTGCTAGGGTTCTGTCTTTCCACATCTATGATTGAGAAACAACTATTTCTATAGTATGTACACTTGGTAATGTCTACAATGTAGTGCCAATAAGATGTACACTAGTTTTTGCAAGTTCCACAATGCAATGCCTTACCTTTGATAGATGCGTCATAATATGATAGTCAGTCATTTGTGTCCAAAATCTAGAAACGGCATCCAGTGAAAAGTGTTTATGTGTATATGGATATTGGTGTTGGCAAGTTAAGATAGCAGATCTTCAGTGTAACAAAACACATTTTTACAAATTTTTAAAAAACAATATGTTAATATGAAGATAATCAGATTCACCAACACCAGACTTCAAATATTGCAGGGTCAAGGGTTAACAAAGCTGTATTAAACAACCTCCTCGTGTCACTTTTCTTCACAGGCCTTGGATTGCTTTTAATTTGGCAGTTGCGAATGAAAAATTTAGGAAAAGTCTCAAGTGAGTAGCTATTCATATTCAGCAAAGACCAACAAGCAACAAAGAACTGTTTGTTAAAGCTGAGCAAGAAGACCAGCAGAGATAATTGGCAACCTTAAACAAGAACACAAGAACGCTGGGTAACACAGTAAATCTCACAGGATCACCATCCCATTCTATTCATTCACGCTAATCCTGTTTCACAGATCTGCATCCAAATATATTCACACACACTGTTCGACTCACCCACTGAGGACCACAATGAAGTCCATGACGTTCCAACCGTTCCTGAGGTAGGAGCCTTTATGAAATACAAAGCCCAGGGCAATGATCTTTATCCCAGCCTCAAAACAGAACATCCCAATGAAGTATGGCTCTGTCTTCTCCTGTAAATGCAAAGCAAGAGATGATCAGAGTGATAATTAACTTACACTGAACTGGAAATGGAAGCACTGTGCATGCAGGTGTCATGTCTGGGTTTTCTGAAGATCTATAGGCTCCATCAGAGGCAGTTTAGACTTTTTTTCAATTTCAGCAACTCGAAAGGAAAGTGAGAAGTGTTGTTGTGCGTGCAGATGATTATGTTTGTGAATATCTCACCAGTCTTTTAGACATGGGTGTTTTGTCCTCTCCAGGAAGGTGCTGCTCCAGGGCCAAGACGATACAGTTGGCAATGATGGTGGTGAGGATCATGTACTCAAATGGAGTAGAAGGCTGAAGTTAAGGAACTTTTGACTGACCTAATGTTGAGTGTCTGGTAAAATATGTTAATTTAAAGGATGAGACAAAAAAAGATGAATATGTAAAAACAGTTCATGAACATATATATTAAAGGTCCAGTGTGTAACATTTAGGAGGCTCTATTGGCAGAAATATAATATTTATAGGTATGTTTGGTGTACAATCACATGAATATAGGAACCGCTGTGTTTTCGTTACCTTAAAGTGAGACGTTTTTATCTACAGACGCTGTGGGTCGCCTTCTGTAGACGCCGCCATGTTGAACCGTCATGTTTCTACAGTAGCCCAGCATTGACAAACCAAACACTGGCTGTAGATAGAGCCTACAGTCATGTTTTTTATAAGTTCACTTCACAAACTGTTCTCATTCCTAGGTTGTCAAATACAGATGCGAGAGGTATTCAGTTAGTTGCAATCTGCAACTTTGCCGCTAGATGCCGCTAAATCCTGCACACTGGTCCTTTAAGTGATACATGAATTGTTCACAGAAAAGCAAATGGACAGAAACAGAGAAAGCCCTAAACAGGTTTCTAGGTCACAGTCAAACACATGTGCAATGAGGTCTATTAATCAGAACACAATATTAGTTCAGGAAATGTGTTTAGTATAATAAACAGCATGGTCTATACCGAACACAGAAAGTCTATGCACTTAGAATAGAAAAGATTCACATACACGATTGGGAAAAATAATTGAGTTAATTACAGTAAATGAGTCCCAGCAGCACTGCAATTACAGTGTCATGTAAGCATAGATAGACAGACCAACATTGATTCCTCTGTATGAAACAGAATTAACCTGGCATGTTATAAGCCCCGGGGCCATGAACACAAACAGACACAGGCTGTACCTTATCTGAGGTCAGCTGCAACAGACAGTGACACACACACACGCACACACACAGAGGCAACAGAAGGCTTATCGAGGAGGGATGAGTGGGTGGGCCTGAGACGTGATCCTATAAACAGGGTCACTCTTACTACAAGCTTTACTGCCTGTTCAATGGGACCTGTATTGGTTGTTGGTTCAACTCCAGCCGCTCTGGGGTTGAGCTAAGCCAGCAATGTGCTCTTTATCTAATGCTCTGCGTGGGCAGTCCCCCTTTCTCCTGGTTATGTAGAGAAGAGGTAGGAAGGAAGGAAGCTTAAATCTGCAGAGTGGTGACAGGGAGGGAGAGCGGCAGGAAGAAGGAGGCGGAGATAACAGGGAAGAATGCCACAGGAGAAAGTGATAAGGAGGATGAAGGGTGATCAGTGGAAGAGAAGATGATGGTTACATAGAGAGTCAGAAGCTTGAGAAACCAGTGGGTGAAGAGGAGGCAATGAGGCCAAATAAGATTGACACCGGACAGATCGATGTTGCGCTGGCAGCTGTACCCAGCAGGGTTACTCAGGGACATGTGAGCAATGAGAAGCTAAATAAACAGAGCAAATACAATCTTACTCCCACCAGCCCGCAGGGATTCTAACTTAAACCTTGGCTGTGCCACAGATTGACTCTGTGATTTCAAGTTAATCACTGACAGGTATTGGAAAAACAAAATGATAGCAGCCATCAGCAACCAATGAATGACAAGCATGAAAACAAATAGCAAAAATTCCAGTTGCATAATATCTGTCTGGGGTTGTTTTTTAGCTTGTTTTTTGCTTGTATCTTTTGATTCACTTCCCTAAAAAACCCATCACTTTAGTCTCACTGAGAGCTCTCAGCAGCAGCCAGTCACCACACCCTGCATTCCCACAAACAAACACAACAAACAGGAGGAGGGGGGAGAAGAGATGAAGGGAGAGACGGGGGGAGAGAGAGAGAGAGAGAGAGAGAGAGGTAATAAAAGGGAGGAAAGAGAGAAAATGAAGATAGAAAGACAGAGGTATCCACGGCAACAGGCTTCTCTTCTAGCCAAAAGTCAATGCTACAAGACGGTTACTGGGCAGCTGAACTATCTCTGTCACACACACACACACACACACACACACACACACACACACACACACACACACACACACACACACACACACACACACACACACACTGAGGCTACAGCTTTGTGCTGTATATCAGATTAATTTTAACCACTACATGACGGAAGCGCATGAACTGATTAGTATCAGTCTAATAAAAGACTTTATCATTGTTGTCAAAGGCAACTCATGAAAAACGTAATTGGCTTCGTCCTAGATTTGAATGTGTGGTCCTTTCTTGAAGCAGTATTTAAAGAAGTAAAGGTGATACATTCACTTACATACAATGTTTCAAACCGTTACGCACAACTTAAGATAGTAACTTGACTTAACATAACTTTTCTCCTTGTTCTACCTTAAAGTGCCAAGAGAAGGACTTCTCTGTGACCAGTCTTAAAAAGCTGCAATAATGTTTTGGCCACTTGACGGCAAAACACAGACATATAATCACCTTTTAAAAGGTCCAGTGTGTACTGTACAGTACTTAGAAACCAAATTTCCCACAACGTGGAGCTTCTGCCACGAGGGTGAACACAGGTGTTTTGCATCAAAGATTAAGAGGTTATTTGTACCTCCCTGTTTATTGTTGTATTCTGTACTCTGTCTCTGATAGACTGAAAGCTTGCTAAATTAAGTGATATATTGCATGGATCTAAGTGTGAGAAAATCTTTACTATCAGTTAGGTCCAGTGTTTTTTAGGAGGATCCATTAGCAGAAATGGTGTGTAATATTGATGGGTAATTGGTGTATAATCAGTGTCTAATAAAAACAAGAAGGTTTGACCCTTAGAATGAGCCGTTTTCATACAGGGGGAGCAGGTCCTCTTCTATGGAGTCCACCATGTTGAACCACCATGTTTCTACAGTAGCCCACTTTTTTCTCTTACACTCTTGGAATAGGAGGCGAGGGCGTTGTAATCTGCAACTACACCGCTATTTGCCACTAAATCTGACACATTTGTCCTTTAAGTTGATAGGGTGAATGTGTAAGTGTATTACACATCCAGCAGATAAGGAGCAACATTGTCATGTTTCTGGTCACATATTCACTTTCGTCTTTCACTCTTTATGGATTATGCCAATTTCTGATAAAAATTTGTGCTTAGAAAAAAATCTCATGTCATATCCTGAAAATAGTTTTTCATTCTTGCTTTTGATGGAAAATTTGGTTTATCAATAAAAACAAAATGCCACAAAGTGCAGACTTAAATAAATCATGACGTGCATGAAGCATGTGACGTCCACAACATGTTTGCATTTCTACATTGTTCTACATAGTTTTTTATATTTGAGGTTTGCCTAGCACTTGTTTACTTTTCATCTTGCTGCGCCCTCTTCTTCTGACATAGTTTAATGAACCAAGTCCTAATAATACCATAAAGTAACACGCATTCATTTTTTTTTTTGCCTCGCTTGTGTCTGTCTACTGTTTGGGGCAGGGTAGGTAGTGTACAGTGGGATTTAAAGCTTTTTCCACTGAAAAAACTGAAAGTCGCAGGCTGGAAAACCAAAATAATGAGCTGAAAGACACTAAAAAGCTCCATAGAGCTGGTGATTATTCTCTGGTTCATGAGCAACTCCCTTCATACACACATTTTATCCATTGTTATTACTGATTTGGCCACTGCGGCCTGTTTGATGCATTTATAGATTGTGTAATCACAGAAGAAGATGTTGCCCAAGAGCCTCCAAAGAACGGAGGGTTTATACCTGATATAACAAATGCTACCTCCCTTCAACAGACATTTCAATAAAGGCTCTCCAGAGAACACAGTGAAATTCATTCATATGCTGAGTTCACCATAAGTTACACACTCAACAAGTGTCTTTAACCAAAACCAGCCTCCCCTCCTCTGTACTGTTCTGGTGTGTGACGTTAATCACGGATCGTCTACCAGCTTTAGCAGCGAGGCGTCTCGTGAGCAATCCTGTGAGTCACAGTGACGCTGGCACTCTGCCTCGATTCCTCAAACATGTGTGTAAAAATAGACATGGAGACGGAGTGTGATGCCCTGTGCATCTGTGAATACGCTCAAGCCCAGATTGGATCCAAGCCCCAGTGATTACTATTACATAGAGGTGAAAATCAAAATAAATCACGGACATCTGAGCCCGGCTTATTGAAAATATGTGAATTATCAGCTGCCTGTGTGTAAATGACTGTGTGTTAAAGGCAGAGAGCAACATTAAATATACAAACACAGGGGAAAGCCAGGAGCGTAATCACCATTTGGAGTAAAATGAACGAACACTGATACATTACAACTTCAGTTTGTATTGAGAATTCAAACTGTGCTGTTATTAAGATATGTGTAAGATAAAATATGTTGTCAACTGAATGGATTTAATGGACTGCTGGTCCAAACATGGTTCAATATTTCTTTAATTCCACATCACCTCCACACCTCAGTGGCCTGCTTGAGCCAGCCAATCAATCCTGAGGATAAACGTGACCATAGTTAAGTCAGCCCTGCGAGTAAACCGCACAGCCCGCTCTTATATACATCGCTCTGTCAGGAAATATAGAGGTAGGTGGATATACAGTCATAGCCAGGGAAGGAGGGTGAAACATTCCTCATGTGTGATGTTTTGTGGATTGTTTATATTAACTTAGCATACTTATCATAGTCATGTTCTTCAGCTACATTCACTCTAAATCTCTAAAAGTAAAAAAGGAAGCAATAAGTGGAAAAATGTTTTCGTAATTGGAAATAAATGAGAGTAGGACCATAGCTACACTGGAGACACCAGGGTCATTTCCTTGGTAATTTTCCATTTCCATTTTTCATGCAAGGATGCAATTTGGTTAGAGGGAAATTAATGGTGTTTTTTAAGTATAAGCTGACCCTAGGGGCATATGAAATGAATTTAAAACCTACAATGAGCCCTTAATTAAATTACCAACTGTGTATTTTAAATCCTGGTTAATGTGTATAAAACAGTTTACAAAAAGAGCTGTGACATTCCCTGTACAATACTTTAAATGTCGCCCTGTCCTAACTGTTTCATATTTAAAAACCAAAAGTCTGCCAACCAGCAAGCTTGTAGTTATTTCTGTGCGTCCTGATGAAACCAACTCTATTAAATCCATCAATCAATTATTTAGAGGTGTACCTTCTCAATGGGAAACTTCCCGCTGCGGGGGATCCCAGTGGGGATCAGACAGGAGGAGCAGCTGCCAGTCCTCCCCAGGCCTACAACACTAAACTCAGGCCGTGTGCTTAATTAGCCCTGCCTCTTCCCTGCCAGGCCTCGATCAGCCTTCCATTGACTGCAACCTCAGGCAGGTAGGCTGACAGTCAGACTCACCTATACATGTACATATAACTGCTTACTCCTGTGAGTTTGCACAGAGGCATATAAAAGAGACTAGTAGTGTTAGAGAACATAGTGTTATACGCTCTTGTAAGCCCGCACACAGCACTCACAGTGATCAACCACGGAAACCTCTGGACGATTCCTGAATTGATCATCTGCTGTTAATTGAGCACTTAGAGAAAAAAGCGAACAGCAAGGTGACAGCGGCAAGTTGTGCTCCAAACACAAGGCTGACCTTTTACTAGATGTCCTACAGAGATTGTGTGTGTGTGTGTGTGTGTGTGTGTGTGTGTGTGTGTGTGTGTGTGTGTGTGTGTGTGTGCACTCTTGCATTTCTATTTCTATGAGGACCAATTTGAGTTTTAGACAATGAGAACAAGGACATCTGTGGGAAGTGAGGATGTTTAAAGGTGGTATTCACTTCTTCAGAGGACTGTTTAAGAGGTAAGACTTTAACGAGTTAGAATTAGGTTTATATTAAATTTAGGGTTGAGGTTAAAAAAGTACAAAAAAATGGTTCACACATACACATATATCAAAATTCAGTTCTCCATTTCAGGATGAAAAAAGGGCACAGATAAGGACACTGAATAACTTGTAAAATCCTAATGTGTCGATTTCACGATAAATTGTAAATTATAAATTGTAAATTGTATATATGAAGTGAGTTTCTTTACAGGGCTCTTTAGAATCTTTTAGCTCATTGTTTTTGTTTTCAATTCCACAACATATGCTTTGATTCTCTCTCACTGCTCTCATGGTGGTGTTTTCAGACGCACCAGGCAGCTGCTTTTAGTTAAAAAGCTCTAAAAAACCCACCGTACGCTACCTCTTCAGCATGAAACACACAAAATAGAGAATTAGTGACCGGCTGGTGAACATAGTGGAGCATTTAGCAGCTAAAGAGCCAGATATTCTGTAGAGACCAAAAACGCCCCAGAAATGAATGAAATGTGGATTTGCTACATGGCCAGAAACATGACTCCAAATTAATGTTAATGTTACTCCTGCTAAATGTGTAAAAACACAACTGTGTGCTAACAAGTTCACTTATAGTAACTTAATAGGTGATGATATGTCAGTTTTGTATCCACAGCTTGTTTCTGCTGCCCACAAGTGGCCCAAAAAAATAGTAATTGCATGACTCCATATAGGGTACTCTGTAGTATAACCACTGGGCATTAAGGTAAGAGTGTGTGTGTGAGTGTCCTCACAAGAAATACAAACATGTGTGTATCATTACTTACATATTTATATGTACAGTATGCGTCTTTACTGTGCATGAATCTATCCACATACTGTATGGTGGAGAGAGCCACTCATCACAGCCACAATGGATATTGACCAGAACACAGAAACACTCAGCTTAGAAACACTCCCTTCAAAACCATATTAGCAAACAATATAATATAGTATGACTCGGTGAGTAATGAGTTGTTGTAATAGCATATGACACAGCGATCAGACATCATTACATATAATTCCTGTTAATGTCTGTTAATCAGATACAGTAGAGCTCATTAGATGTAATGAGACACTCCCTCCACAACAACACATTAACCTGGAGGTTATTCAGTCTGGCTGCTTTCCTTCTGGTCACTCCAGCAGACACAGTATTTTGATTTAAAGCCAACTGTGTTCTTGACACAGAGCACAAGATGAGCCTGTGAGTGTAGTTACTGTATTGTTAATGGTAATGACCCAACTGCTGGAGGGATGAAATATCTGTAATACGATAACCAACACACACCCTTTTTCCTCAGTTGTTGATTGAAATTCATCCTGTTTCTATTTTTAATCACCTCAATGGATGGGCAAACCCAGAGAAAACAACAATAGACAGCGATCAACAATAGAAGCACACTCATTCTATTTTCTGGGTTTTTTTAAATACGCAGTGGGCCAGTCAGTCAGTCAGGAAGCTGTTGAATGGAGCAGAACAATAGCAGTGAAGAGGCCACACCTGGCCTGGACACCTGGTGAGCTGCACAGCAGCAGCACAAACACGCCACCAATGGACATTTGCGTGTGGCCGTCCTCCTCAGCAACAGGCAGAGGAAATAACAGTCTCTCCCTTTTCAGTAATAGAGGAGCGAGTCATTAGGTTGGAGAAAGTAACCAATAATGTAACAGCACTAATTAATATAAGTGTTATGTAATACAGATTTGGATAATTATCATATCTCCAGCTGTACTGTGATGTTTATTTTATTTCAATGTATTATTTATTGTTGGTCTGTTAATATAATACTGACCTGAACAAAAGAGATTTCCCCTTTGGGAACATCTATCTATAATGGCACTCGCTCATTTAATAGCAGTATTTAGGCAAATAGTACAGGGCTGCAACTCCCTGCGACACAATGTAAAACAGTAAAAAAAAAAAAGCATATTACAGCTTCCCAAAGTCAAAGAGAAGTCTTTAAATGTCTTGTCTTGTCCAATAAACAGTCCAAAACCAACCAAAGGTTTTCAGTTTACAGTCATAAAGCAGAGAAAAGAAGCAGATCCTCCCACAGAATATTTTGCTTAACGGTATTTTTGCTTTAAAAAACTACCAAAACTATTAATGAATTATAAAAATAGCGCAGGTGAATTTTCTGTCAATCAACTAATCAATCAAGCGACCAATTGTTGCAGCTCTAGGTGAGTTTGATATATTTACTGTCCATAACTCATCATGAGGGACAGCGGGTCTTCATAGCCTTTTGTTGACAGAGAAGATTCACAGCCATAAACAGAGAAACTCTTGTGTGCTCTTCTAATCCACTTTCCACTGACACCTCCTCCCCCTCTGCAGCAGTTTTTGTCTAGATATAGCTACTGTCACAACCTGAGTCAAACTCATGTGATATATTGTTCTATAAAATAGTAAAATAATGCTTTTAGTGCTTGTTTTACTCTACTTTCTTAATTCCTAATTTCCTGTTGTGTAGTATTGGATTGCATTTAAATTAATCAATTAGTGACCCAAAAAAGTAATTTATCACTGAAACAATTCCCCCAGACTGAACTCAGATCTGTTTCTCTCTCTCTCTCTCTCTCTCTCTCTCTCTGTGTGTGTGTGTGTGTGTGTGTGTGTGTCATATATTGTACTGTGTGTGCTGTCCATGGTGCTGAAATTCTCCAAAGACTCTACTGCACAAAGACAAACACTAAAGAGAATTTGGCTGTTTATGGACTTTATCCTTCTGTGCACACTTGTGGATTATGATTAAATTGTATTCGTGTTGGGGGCCACAAATGGATTATGAATATATATATTTTCATTTGTTAAACACATTTCGGAACACAGTTTACCCACCTTTAATTCACTCCTACACGACTTGCTTGCACATCTCGGCTGAATGTATTTGTATATTTCACACCTTACCCGCTTCATTTGCACCATGAAGCAGAAAAAGGATATGGCCACTCAATGATTTTCTTGGCGTACTTCCTGACCACGTTGTCCTCGCCAAAGATGAACAGGGACCTGTTGACGGTGAAGCAGTTTTCCCTGACCGGGATGGGGTTGTACAAGGCCATGGTGCGGGCACGCTGCGCTTTGGTCTGCTTGAAGGCTGGGGAGATGCCACCTGTGGACACGGCGGCCCCATCGCGGTTCCGGTTGCGCTCGGACCCTCCATCCCCTGAGCTCAACAAGCCCGGGACGTCGTCTCCAAACCGGGCCATTCTGTCAAAAGCAAACCACACGGGAGGGAAGACAGTGAGACAGGAGACACAAAAGGAGGTTATAGTCTCCTAGAAAGCAGGGCGCGGTGCTGCGCTCGGTAGAGTGGCGAGATCCTGACCAGTTTTAGTCCATCGTCAGTTTTATTCGCAAAAAAAACACCGCCCTCAGTGTACTTCAACTTCAAAATATGTTCAAAACATTCACGGATTTTTCTCCAGTCGGTCCACTGAGGAGTCCGGATAAAGACGCACCCCTCTTTCAAGTGCGCTCTGCGTAAAAAAAAAACCCAAAAAGAACACAAATCCAAAAAGTAATTCAATTCCGCCTCAGTTAACAATCCGTCGTCTTAACTGAAGCTGTACAAACGGATTCATTCTGCAGCGTTTTATCCATCCAAACACTAATAGCTTCAAGAAAAGCTGCAACAGGTCACGTCTTCAGCCATCCTCAGTCCCCTGAGCGAGAAGCAGAAGAGCAGGTTGAGCCATGGATTTTTAAAATAAACTAGTCCACTGAGTAATTCAGAGCACATCACTCCTGTCTGCTCTGCTTCTCTCTGTTGACCACCTACCACAAGAGCACTATCCTATTGCGTGCGTAAGAGGACGACCGGAAAAAAAAACTTTGGCATTTTCCACGACATTTTTCCCCGAAACAACGCGAACAAAACAAGCTGTCAACTACATGTCACGGGGAGGGAAAGCAAATCCTCAATCCGTCTGGTCTGCAGTGGGATGGTGGAGGAAGTATCTGCCTTTCCCCCGCACTGTAAGAGCAGGAGGAGAGGAGACAACAGTGTCTCCTAATGCGACAGGATCAACAACACCTCTCCTAACCTCTGTCCAACCCCACACATGCGGTTTACTATGCGCAGATCTGGTTAATAAAACTCTAACAGAACATAAAGACGAGGACAAACACTGGTGCATTCAACTGATAGAGTCACAATGTCATGAAAACAAACATTAGAGGCTCCTGCCTCCATCTTGACGAGTAGAGATTATGTAAATCAATTATATTGAACATTTGACAGCCTGCAAATATTAAAGACTGACTTCAAGCTATTACTGAAAAGTCTTGTCAAATACTAAAGGTTTTCTGTAGGATCACTTTTTTATGTGACTGGTCAACTACCATTTGGGGGGGGCATGCTGTGATATTGGCTTTGACTTATGTTGTTCGACCTCCGTGGTCACGCCTCAGGGCGAGCAAACTGAATGCTAGTCACGCCTCAGACCGGGAGGGAGTAAACACCTGTTGTGAAATATACCCAGCGCCAGCAAGACACTCTGGAGGACAGCAGCAAGCATCTTCGGCTAATTACAGGGTTCAGAACCTACTATTGCAAGGCATGGTAGTGAGGGGGGAGTCGTGCTGCTCTGTGCTGGCTGGAAGTGATCGTATCTACTCTCAAGAGGATGTAGGGTTTTCACAATGAAGGAGGGGAATCAGGAGAGCAGGGACTCATCCATGTTGGGTTGGAAATATTATTAAAAATTAATATTGTTAGTATTATCGTATCTGGCAGATATTAGAAACATGACTTTAGATCAAGCAATCATTAAGATAATTGGCTTTAACAAATTCCTTGAAAACAGCAAAACCAATGACCTAACAAGTTTTATATGATATCGCTTTGTTCTTTCTGCGAATGTCCTCTATTATTATCTAACAAGGCTCAAAGACTACAGTGAGGGGTGGATCTAGAGAAATATCCATGGGGTGGCAAGAGGGTGACATGGAGACTTTAACATAATAATAATAAATGATGATTTAATCACAATGTCAATGTTTGCTTGGAAAAGCCCTCAAACTCAGCAATTTTAACTCACATCACATTATTGAGGCACATTAGTAAAGTATTCAATAGATATATCAAAAGGTGGCATTAGAAATCAATCATTTTATTTATTTCAAATCTTCAGACAATTTTACAAACATGTCTTTTTTCATTGAACTTTGTCTAAAATGCAGCCAACAGATCATCAAATTATATGCAATATACTTAAAATTAATAACTGTGTTACATTTGACAGGATTTGACAACATAGGTGTCAGCTCTGACAACAGCCATGTTAGCTGCAGTAAAGTAGCACTAAACACAAAATATAACTGGAAGGTGAATGTCATAGCCTTGCAGATGTCAGATCATAAACCAAAGTAAGTATTAATGTTGATGATGTTGAAATTGAATGGCTTTCTATCCAGTAGCTGCTGAAGATATTTCAGTCTCTGACAGGCCGACAGACCAACACTGACATCTGCTAACTATTAAAAACACATCAGTGAACCAGTGGATAACATGTTCCTTTATCATCTCTGTTTATTTTGAGTCAGTCACATATTCTGCCCGCTGTCCTGCTGACGCAAATACTGAAACAAATGTGCTGAAAATAGTCCAGCAAATTTACTATTTAGTTTGTTTGAGTAATGTTTGCTCAAAACTAACAGTGCCCGGCTGTTTTAAGAAATTACTGAGCCTTTTTAGAAATAAAACTACAAATTTGTGAGCGATTTTTAAAGATTTACATTTTCAGTAGATATACGTGGGTTTGAGGAGGAGTGCCACAGACAGGGTAGGTACATCGCAAAGACTAATGCATTGTTGGTTTTGGGATTTGTTGACAGTAAGAAAAATGTTTATCCTTTAAATGAGACATTAAATGCCTGAAAGAAAAGCCTTTATTTTCAAAGAGGATAAAGTTTGGATAGTCAGTGTAAAGTAAAATCCACCAGCCACTGTCATATCCTCTTTTAAACTGTAAACTGATGGCGATGGGAAACTGAAGTACAACAAAAGATGAACCACAGGAGAGAGTTAACCGCGATGCTGACACTGATGGGTATTTAGTGATGGTGGTATGACGAAGGCAGTGATCAATGGTGTGTGGCCTCCAACTCATTAGTGCTCCAACACATTATGGGTATTAAAAATAGAACACATAACAGACAGATTTCTGACATCTCCTCATTATAAATGGCGAGAAGAGACGTACAAATTTTCCTATAACAGTTTCCTCCAGTCATAAGACAGAAGAATCACATTTTACTTGCTTTTTTTTTTGTGAATTCAGTCTCAGCTGAGCGTGATAGAAATGTTACTTTTGCCACTTCTGCTGTGCAGCAGCAAGTGGGTGATATCATTACATTGTTTTCTGCCAGGACGAGAGCGTGCGGCAGCCACAGCTTTCATGGCTGAGAGGTGAGGGGTGAATTATGGTAATTAGGTGTTAGCAACAGGGATGATTAGGGTGGAAGGATGATGGTTCTTTCCTGGAAAAGAGCAGAGAGCGAGCGGGTACAGCCTCTTTGTTGTAGATGAGGCTTTGACTCGGTAGTTTTTTCTCTAATTAAAAAAACACCTTTTGGAATCAAACTAGTTATTTTATTGAAGGACTGCGACTGAACACAACTGAAACATGACTTCAGTGAATTTGCTCAAAGGCTTAGATCAACCAAACAGTCCAGCTTTGATCAGTGAGGTTAATTAACTATTTAATAATGCTTTATAGATCAATTATTAGCCATTAACAAGAATAGCATACAAATCCTTTTGTTTGGTAATAAATAAGGTTCATTTATTTCTAATAAGCGATCAAGTCTGCAGTTATAAAAAAGTCAGATTTTTTCAAGAAAGTCCATTGGAGGCATCTTACTGGTTAATTAAGGAGTTATCTGAAAGATAAAGAAAGGAGGGGCCAGAGGAGGATTTTTCACATCCTGGCAACACAAAAGTTGTTTCCTATCCAGTGCTTATAACTAATCAATAAAGCATTAGCAGGTGATTTATTAACCAATAATAAGGTGAGCTTATAAACCCTTTACAAAAGGTGGTGTATTAGAAAGTTTGTGTGAAAATAAAAACATTAAATACAAAACATATAACACATATAATGTAGCTGTAAGCAGAAGTGTTCATTAATGTATTTTTTAATTGTAAATCCTCCTGTGGACAGATATAGTAAAATACAGTTGTAATAACCCTAAATATTAAATAATAAAAACTCCAGTATTCATAAGAGAAGGTATAATTGTTGACAGATACTGTATATTAATAAATGCGATGTTCTTATATCTGCATACAACTACCTTACAGTGTGTTATAAACTATTAATATTAAATGTTAAATACTATAACTAAACTATACTGCTAATAGACTTAAAATAACACACATTTGTTTTCCAATCAGTTTAGATTTCCAATAAATCGAGTCACACAAATAGAGATTCTACAGAAAAAATTCATATTTTTTATATAACACAAAAATAAATAAAAACATTTTTCTCATAGAGGTAACAGAAAGTCTTGTAGGTTTTTTGAATATTTATTGGTACCCTAAAATATATATCGAAAATCCAATAAAACTTTTTGACTTGTGGGCTGACTGTATTAAAAACAGTGGAAAAAAACAATATACACTTAACCACAATCAGTTATACAACGTAAATATAGGTGGAAAACTGACATTTAATTTGACAATGTAGACATGTTGTCAATGTTCGAAAGTCTTCCCCAGGCTGCTAGAGATGTCTAGCTTGCAAAAATCTAGCCGAGGAACACCGGGTTACCAAGGTTACCTGCTGTCATGACAGCAGGTTGACAGTACTTGCTCTGGTAATGGGACTTAGTGCCACAGGACTGAGGTATGAACAAAGATTTCAATTCAAAAATAGAACGTGTGAATGGAGATACCTGGCAGGCTTGTTTCTGCAACCTGGTCATTATCACACTTTCCACTTAATTGTCTTGTAACTAAATTAGCTACTTACACGTATGACCCTCAGACGAAAACTAATCATGTGAAAGACCACATGTGAATTCACAGCGCACTTATGTTTACTTTGTTTGTCATACAGTGACCATTTGAACAGTTTCCATCTTCTCCTGCCAACATCTTTCCACCAAGGTCCCACGCTTTGAATTCACATGGCTTTTCACGTGGCTCATCCCGCTTTTTCTGTGAGAACTTGAACTATTTTCATGCTACAGAGTAGAGTTTA